GGGAGTTATTTATAGTCTGTCTCGCCTCCTAGTCCTAATATACTAGGCTTTTATCTTGTCTAGTGCCTTTTAGATAGTCTATTAGGCTAGGTATTCTATTATCTTTGCTGTATATTAGTGTCTTAGTCCCTTAAAGTATTGTTTGACTAGTAGGATCCCTGATTCTATTTCTACTACCCTTATTAGTATAGTTTTATATGCTCCTAGGATTTTTCGTTTTAGGACTTTGGGTGTTAGGACCTGCTAACTGGTTGCTTAATCCTCTTTAGTGTTTTCTCCTAGGCTGTCTATATCTGTGCTCTATATAGCATTGCTAGCTTGATAATTGCTTTGTATATAACTTTAGCTTTCTCGAATATAGCCCCCTATATAGAGGCTATAAGCCTATTGATAGATTATATATTAGTATCTGCCCTCTGCTTTGCCTTCTTTACTTATAGTCCCTAATTTAGTTTTAGATCTAGCTAGATCCCTAGTACCCTAAGCTCTGTTAATAGTTAGGTTTCAAAGCCCCTTAGATAGTAATTAATTGCTTTATATTGTAGGTGATTTAGCCTTGCTAAAGTAGATAAGCTAGTACTTTTCTAGGGCGAATTTTGCTTCTATACCTCCCGTTACCCTAATTTTTTTTAATAACTTCCCTTAAGTGGCCTTTTCCTCCTTCCTAATACTTCTCTTCTAGGATCTTGTAGTTGGTTTCTATTGTCTTAGACTAGGCTAGGATGTTTGTGTTATCTATAAACCCTAATACTAATGTGTTTTTTAATTCTAGGAGTGGGAGTAGGTCTACTATAAAGATAAGGAAGAGGATTAGGGAGAGTATCGATCCTTAGGGGATTCCCTTTTTAGTTAGCATTAGGTCTGATTTAAATTTACCTAGAATAAGCTGTGTTAATCTTTCCTGTAGGAAGGACTAGATAAATTAGACTATCTAGTTTAGTATAGCTTTCTATTTGAGTATATATAGGAGCCTTTTATAGGAGACATTGTTAAAGGCTCCTAAGATATTAAGGGAGAGGAGGGTTGCTACCTAGTTTTAACTATAGTGCTAGATATGCTTGATCTGTTCTATAATTAGTTCTATAGCTATTAGTATTAACCTCTTCTTTCTTCCTCCTATCTAGCCTTTAGGAAGGATGTTCCTTTCCTCGGCAAAGGTTATTAGCCTTTTAGCGACAATTTTTTCTAGTACCTTACCTATTATATTAAGTAGGGCTATTAGTCTATAGGCCTTAAGCTGTATATAGTCTTCCTTCTAAGGCTTCCTTAGCACTACTGTTAGGGACTTCCTAAATAGTCTTAGGTAGTGTCCTAGTGCTAGGCTTTATAAAAAGATATTAGCGAGTACTAGGGCTAGCCCCTTTCTATATACTTTTAGAAGTTTATTGTAGATCTTGTCTTCTCCTAGTGCCTT